TCGGTACTTGAAAAGCGCGGTGGCGGAGTAGACAAAACAATTTTACACTGAGTAGCGGAGCGCACGACCTCTTGACAGCGATCAAAAAATGGTTCTCTCTTTTTCGCAAACCCGTAATATGAGCGAATGACTGACTTTAATTTTCACACCAGCATAAACATTTTCACACCAATTGCAGTAATCGATAAAAATAAACCGTGACGTAGATAAACTTTAACTAAGCATAGACAATAGGCGGTTAAGCAACAAATAATCTAAAGTACAAAGAAAATAAATAGCGTTTCAAAACTAACACCAGAGACTAGCACTATCTTTTCGCAACCTCCGCTCATTTTATTCAAACGCGAGAAAAACATAGGATATTTTTTGGTCAGAAGTCCTTTTCAGACTAATGACCAATCAGGCAATTTTAAATGCGCTCGTGCACGATGCAAAACGTGTCCATTCATTCCCACCACTGATAAAATATTGGGACCTAAACGATCCATTAAGATCACCGATCACTTCCCGTTCACCTCCGCCAATGTAATCTATTGCATAACTTCCACTTATTGCAAAAAGATATACATCGGCGAACAGGCAGAAGGCCTAATTATTCTGCGGAGATGGTGAGTTTGTGCTGGAAAATAACAGACTGCTGATCATGGTAAAGTTGTGGACGCTGATGTTGTTGAAAGCTATCCAATTCTGTCGATAAAATAAAAGCTTCCATAGCTACTTTGACAAACATAGAATATTTAAGCGTTTCAGTCTGTCGATGATAACATTTTTTTCAGAATTAAGCTCAACCGAGTTTGTCTCATCTCTTTCAAAAATAAAGAAATAAATATAAAAAAAAAGCTAAAAGGAGAGGTGGGCCTTTTCTTCTCCAAGAAAGGTTGCATATTTTTTAGTCAATACATTTTCCATGGACAGCACCTTATAAAACTAGCGGTCACTTACCATTTTTAGGTTCTTGTGTGGACCATCGAAAATCTTGGCTTCCCTCAAGCAAATCTTAAAGCTGTTTACTTTCAAGTCCTCGACCCATAAGGCCATGGCATCCTGAGTTCTGTTGAGAACACCGTGAGTGGCAGTCACGAAAATAGTACGAGGAGAAGGGAAACGCTGAAACATAAGTGGAAAATGTTTTACCCAATTGAAGGCGTTGCCGATACCCCTAACTAAGGAGTGAGGGAAATACAATGAACCACATTNCAATGATACTATTAATAATGGTAACAAATTATGAACTATGAATTATGAACTGAAGAGGGTACTGTGAGACTATGGAATAATAAAAAAAAAAAAACGGCAAGATATTGGAGATCAAAAAGAAAAGCTCATATCGTTGATAACAAATATCGAGGGATTAGATGCAACTTTAGCGTGTTTAAAAATATTATCAAA